AAGCGATATGTAGTAACCCTGGTGTTATCAATAGTCGATTGCAGTCGCTTTTGACTTTGGCAATTTTCCATTTTTACCAAGTCAATGAAACAGCAATTTTTCATTTATAAATAAAGAAATTCTAAATTATAAATGATTTATTTCCTGAGAAAAGATGTGAAAGTATTTACTTTACAGATTGGTCGTATGTTATTTCAAAGAAACAACTTTTATGAAGTACATGTACTTTCTTTCACGTCCGGTATATGTTACTCGAGAGCATATATCAAAACATATATATTTCCATGTAAAGGCATTGTATTTATTGATTAAAGTTGCTGAACTTTATTAAATCTATATATCTTTTTAATGATAAACAATGAATTTCATAAACATGATAAACAGAATAGTTTCTGATTGAATTTTTGTTGATATATGATACTTTCTTCAAATTTCTTTTTAGTGCTAGATATTTAGTTGTTAGTTTCTGACAAGAGGAAAAAATATAGTTGTGTAACCATAAATGATTATTTAAGACATAAACTGAAGCAACTGTTTCTTCAATTGTATTCTCAGGTATGCATTGAACAATATAAAAACTAATTAAATAAATAAGCTGTATGGAAATGTAATTTTTTCCCATCAATTTAAAAATTTAAAGTTTTTTGTTATAAATAATTCCTCCATATATATTCAATGTACTTTGAATGGAAAGACAAGTTACAAATAACATACCACAGGAGTATTAGATGGTCTTGGCCATGTCAGACTGAGAATTATATTTGGTAAATTTAGACTAAGGTCTTTTTACATATGAAAAACATACACTGATAAAGAATCTATAAGAAATTGAAATTTGTTACTTTTTGATCAGATGACCTACGTCTTTGCTGCATTTAATGTGCATGCGAAAGTTGGAAAAAAGGGGGAACATATATATATGTACATGTTGGAAGGCATGGTTTCTTTTTCATTTTGCTCAATTTGTTATTCCTTGCATAAACATGATAAGTGGGAAGAACATGACAATGACCCTCCTTACACCAAATTATTTCAAGAAAGGGGTATTTATTTATTTGTGCACGTAGCAACATCTACTTGCTATTTACTGACTATTTTTACCAGAACTTTGTATAAGTTTTATATACATATACATTTATATTTACATATAATATAATTAATTGGCATGTCTATTTTCAGAACCTCCGTTCCATGTACTTAGTAATTTGGCATGTTTGTTAGCGGTGTTCCTGAAGAGCCTGTAAAGCAAAGTATATCACTGGGTTGAGCTCTCCGTTTACGTGTATTATTAAAGTGTTTTGCATTGAGCTCAGTTCATTGTTATGCAAATGCATTCTTTGTGAATTTGAGATTCATAAACAGACAACCTATATCTACATATGAACTGCAGGTGAGATGGTTGAAACTGTCAGCACAAGAAATTAATGAAGCAGCATCCACGGAACATAAGTAATTAAAGAGAGATTAAAAGAATTAGTTATATTTGAACCAAATATTTCTTCAGTGATAGCCAAATAAAAAAAAGCACATTGAAATATACTAAAAATTGCTACCTGCATTATAATACTTGATGGTTTTGTAACACCTTTTAAATCATCTGTCCTTGCTACTGAAAAGTCCTTAGTGCAACTGCTTATTCATTTATACATATGGACGAAACTCACAAGGCCTAGTCAGTTTCTAAAATCATCTTTCAACTTTATCGTTCATTCGTTTATTTCTAAATTTGTGTTAATGTTTATAACCAGATTATCTCTCTTAATGTTTATGATACAATAAAACTGCATCCTACAGGTTTCATTTATATTTTTATCCACATAACTAGAACAATTCTGCAATACCTTTTTCATTTGGAATACTACGGAATCGATTCATAGTTCATATTTCCTTTAGTCTACACTATTTGTCATAATTTATTTATAGAAATTAAAATTCATAAACAAATAAATTGGAATTACTATGTTATTAAAATTATTTCATACTGGTAAAATTTGTAGCTCATCTAGCCCCATGTGCATTCCAGGTATTATCGTCACTTTGGACTATTATACATCTTCTTAGAAACAATTTCGATCATTTAAACGAAATCTTCTATAAATAATACTGGGATGATCCTCAACTAATTTAAAGTTCCAAGTAAGAAATGGCCACCACAAGGGACAAAATAGAACCATACGAGAAGAACATACATACAGGTTCTGACTCATAAACCATCTTGCATCTTAAAATCACATCATGCACAAATTTACCTAATATGTTCATCTACTAATTTTGATTTTTTGCATTATAATATCAAGAAGCAAAGTAGTGGAACATATTACAATCATTTGGTAATCTATACAACATGTACAAATAGTGTCTTCTCCATGACAGTCTTGGACATAAAAGCCAAATATTGAATAAACGACCCTGCTAATTTTTAGTGTATGGTACTGGTCTGATATTCAGAATGGTTGTCACTGTGGAACACAGCTCAACATGAGACACTATGGGGAAAAAAACATAGAAAGTTTTTTTGACAGAAAATACTGTCAAACATTCAAACATACTATCCACACTGATCTGTGTCCACGCTTGTAAATAAAAATTTATAAATAAATTAAAAAATATCAAAAATAAATAAATAATAAAAATTCTTCTAATACTGTTCAACTTCCGATTATAATCTAAAAATAAAAATATCAAATGAGCAGATCTCATTGAGCCGTTACATTTACGTAATGCCTGAGTTAGAATGTTATATAAACATTTTTAGTTGTAAAAGAAGCTGAACTATATACACATTTCATAACAATAGTATATTTTTCATCGAATCAAAGATACATATTTTTTCTAAGTGTATGGCTGGATCAGTTGATTTCAAAAATTAATCCTAAACAGACACGAATCTAGGATTTTGATAAGGGGTTCGTTATTCCGCCCATCGAGCATTCTTCAACATTACCTAGAGAAGCTTATTTTTCCACAACACGCAATACATTTTTTTCAGATACTATATTAAAGCAATAGGCTAACTATATTTGGTGTATGGTATGATTGTAAAGTGTACATAGAAAAACAAAGGATATGGGGTATCCATCTATGACACTAAATCAGTACATGCACAGCAAAAAACACAAAAAAGCAAAGGAACAGCGCTTTTATTACTGTACTTCATCTCAAAGTCACAGTAAGGCCTTCAACAAGTAGCAAGAAAACTAAACTCACCTCACTGTAATTTTAAGACGGCCCCTAGTACCGGTTTGGGAGACATGTCTGTCTGGCAGGGTTCATATGACCTTTACCTCATTTACATTTTACTCTATGTGCTTGATTTAAAGATTTTAATTTTTTGTGTAATACAAATGTACTATAAATATGTCAGCAATTAAAAGCATTTTCTTGTACATAATTTCAAGATTATGTAGTGTATTTGTCCAACAGTGTTAATATTGTTGATAGTTTTATACCATTGAAAACTAGTTTTGTTGTTATATTGGTGCTCTTTGATGAACTTGTTTTTTTCCAATTTTGACTTTTTTCAACTATCAATCCGTCAGAATATTTAAAAGTTAATTTGAGCTGAATTCACAATAACTCCATTTACAGGTCAATTTCATTATTCCCTATTGCCAAAAAAATCACGTTTCTCCAACAAGAAATCATTTACCTGTATGCAAAAATTTTAACTGTTGGAAAAACGTGAACACACCGATTTTTCTTCTTCTGATTTTCGGATGTCTAATGTATGTTGCATCGATATTCTTTAGAAGTTAACTTGACAGCTATAGTATATTTCCTTGACTAGTTTATTGTTTAACATATTTGAACAAATTTTACTACTTTTAAAAAATTGTCTTAGAATGAATATTTCTATACGATTTTAGGGACTTCAATGAATTCCTCCCCTTATGGTAATTGAAAAGTCCAAAACTTTTATAATGAATGAAGACTTTTGGGATCTTCCGATCATAATGTTCTCTGTAAATCAGGATAACGTTTCGAATTCCGTCATACTCCGAAAGAATGGAGATTAAGGACAGTCACTAAAATATGTTTAGGAGCTACAACTTGCCTACACTGTGACATGGAAAGATAATACAAATTCCCTTGAAATGGAATTTAAAATATTGTACGGTATGATGGTTAGTAAATTTAAAATATGTATTTATTCTTGTCATATTTATAAATTAAATCAAACAAATCAGATATGAGCGATTAAAAAAAAATCACATACATGTTTAAAATTGTCGGTTGGTTTAGTTTTCTAATTTGAAATCAGTCCACAGCTCCTTAATCTAATGATACTTCCTTTGCACAGCAAAACATATGTTCCATTGATGAAATGATAAATCGATTTGTTAATTTGACACATCAACGGTCAATATAGATTTAAAATGACAAGATAAACAAACGTCAAAGCTGATTTATTTCAATATTTGAAAATTTTATTTCAACTTTACTTCTTACAAGAAAAGCTTTATGATACTATGCAAATAATTAATATAGCTGTGAGTAATAATAGCATTAACGATTTAAACATTGCATGTACTACTAATAAAAAGTCATAAGACGCTCCGAATTCAGAGCATGCGATACAGGTCTCCGTTGGAAAAACAACAACATAAAACACTTAAAAGCGTCAAACCCTCAAACTGACCTATTCTATAAATTTGACAATTATTAGATAAAATAAAATAAGACTAGATTTAAACAACCCGTAAATTTTTATTGCGCTATTTAACAAGATATCAACCATTATGATACATTTATATTAATAAATAACAATACAATAACAATTATAAGTAACAAAGCAATATGCTAAAATCAAGTAAAATCCTTCAAATTTATGTTCAAACACCAGCCAATAAATTATCTATATCTTATAATGTAGTGTATTCATAAAATTAAAAGACAGAAACATTATAAGAAGGATTTCATTTTGATTAGGGAAATGTTTACATATTGAGGACTTGGTTCTCTAACACCAACCAATATTGGTTCGCACAATAAATACAGCACTATTCGTCACAATCAACATTCTTTTTCCAATCACAATTCCCTGTTCTAGTATTCCACCAAAATGGCGGAGGACAGTCACGTATATATTGTGTAATCCCTACACATGTTATGTATTTGGAACAATCTGGTAAATGTGGATAATTCCAAAGAGACTTGCAAACGCAGACATCTAAAAAAAATACAATCAACTACAAATGCTTTATGTCATTATCAATTTTATTCATAAATACAATCTGATATGATACTGACTGATACAAAATGCAAATTATAATGAAATAATTGAAATTTTGTTTCTGTTATTTCTTTTTAGTTAGTGTCTCTTTTGTTTACGTTAAATACATCTTTTTTTTATAAATGTACATAGTAGTATATTTTTGAGTGTAAAGATTCCATTTATAAGTTCGTACAGAACATTCTTCAATAGATCTACATTTGTAATTTTAAAGCTAATTTACATTTGTTGGGGTCTAGGTTTTGCCCACTCTCGGTCGTACAGTGACCTATAGTTGCTTACATCTACGTCATTTGGTCTCTGATGGGCAGTTGCCTCATTGGCTATCAGACCATATCTTCATAGTTTATATTGAAGAAAGAGACAATGCACGCAAACTATGTTTGATATTTTTTTTGTACAATTATTTTTGAACAGCGATGAATTAAAAGTGTATATATTATTCAAATGTTGAAAATCCTAAGACTTGGTTATACATACCTAAAGTTACTGTTTTAGGTGAGGTCGTTATAAATAATGTCAGTGAAGTTGTAGCAGTATGTATTGGCGTCTTTGTTGGAACTATTGATGAAGATTTAGAAGTACTAGTTGATTTCAGTATTATTAATATAGTACTGGCACTGCTTATTGTCTGCGTGTCTAAAGACGTTGTGAATGGCTTACTAGCACTTGTAAGTGGTACTGATATAGACTGTGTAGTAGAAGATAAAGCTACTGTTGTTATTAAAGACATGATGATACTAGTTGCAGGTTTGATTGTTGTTGTTCTTGTTGAAGACTTGAGGGTACTAGTAGATGAAGGCTCCTGTGTTGTTGATCAAAGATCACAAATTGAATGAAAACATCTCTTTTTTTTAAACAAAATAAACAGTCATCAGTTTATGGAAACTAAACTGGAATTAAACGTACCCTTATATTGTTGTAGTTGAAACCTATAACATCATATGAGGGTTCTCGAGTATAAATTGACTATCGATTATAAATCTGATACGATTTACTTTACATTTGTTCATACTAGAGATAGAGAAGCCTATTTTGTGTATTACCTTCAGTATGTTTTGGTTAGAAGCACTTGTGTAATAATACCAAAACATATCATCTTATTTACCTATTGGAGACAGATCGATTGTTGGAGTTGTTGGAGTACCAGGCATCATAGATGAAGACATTGGATTTTGACTTGAGGAGGGAGATATTGATGTGGAAGTGACGGTTGAACTTTGGGTTGATAAAACGGATGATGAATTGAATGAACTAGTCGAAGGCGATTTTTGAATACTAGACGCCGATGAAAATGACGGCAAAATTATTGAATCGTCGATGTAAAAGTACTAGACGTAACAATTGGTGAAACTGATGATGAACTTGGAGCAAATGTCGATGTTGCCTTGTTTGATACATTTGTTTTTATGGTACAGACTACATTGCTGGGATAATCACGGTATTTTCTGTTTGAGTTATAAAGTAAATTAGTTGAACAGTTCATGTGGAATGCCACCCCTCCTTCACAATTATAAAACTTGGAACAATCTTCTGGATCAGCATAGCGTCTACTGAATTGAGCATGGATAGCCTGTAATATGATTCAAAATTACGATTAGACTATTTTTACCGAAAAGTTGTAGCAGAAATGATTTGAAAGAGTTAATAGGCTGAGGTGAATTGCAAATTTAAACTGTTTCAATATATTAAAAAGCTGTTAGCCTGACAACTTGCATGTTTGTACCTTTAAATCTTAAACCTGGCAATATTCATCATACCGACAAAAGTTTAGTTGGTATGTTGTTGTAAATTAATATTACTTTTTTTTCACAGTGCTTGAAGTGGGTAGCATTTGTAACTCAAGTTCTAAGATTTTGAAAAAAGGATCTATCATACAAATTTAAAGTTTGATCTTAGCCAACCGGTAATGTCGTATATAGAATAGAGAATAGAAACGAAAAATGGGTCAAAGAGAGAACAACCCGACCAAAAGGCAGAAAACAGAACATTGCCACGCAAGTAAAATATTTATACTTATACTATAAATAGGAATTTGTATTGATTCTTTGAAAAATTATGATTGTGTGGCAGACATGGGGTATCAATGATAATTTGATATGTAAATTATATCTAGCTCTTACAAGGTTTATATTTTTAGATCACAATATAAAACAAACGAATATTAGTCCTTTATTTGCCATATTTCAATTGAATTTCTTTAATGAGAAATGTTACAATCTGCACCTGCTTTATTTTTTTCGGATTTAATGTAGCTCGCACTGATTCAAAAATAATGGGATAAAAGGATTGAAAAAGTGTCATTTTTTATTATTATGTAGGATTCTTAAATCTAATAATTGTGAATGTTCCTATAAAAGCTTTTTTTGGAATGTTGGAAATATGCATTGGACATTGATTAGCTTTTCAGAATAATGGTGTCGAAAGATTCATTTTGACCTTGTTATTATTTCGCGCTCTGTGCAACTCTTAACTGTTATCCCTTTTGTTCATTTCACTGTACGATATACCTGAACTAGTTCCTCCATGTGTCGTCGAACCAGATCCTCCTTGTGTCGTTGAACTAGACCCTCCCTGTTTCGTTGACCTGATGTTGTCGGCATTGCAGAAGACATTACAGTTTGGACTGCAGGAGTTGTAAGTGTGCCACCATTCTAGGCAATTATCAGTCCATCCTTATTTGTATTTAAAAGAGGGTATTTACGATTACTTTTAGAACATGTCTGCTTGAAATCATCAAGAGGTAGAGACCACAACATGGCACCACCATATCCCTCGGACACCAACCATTCAATCTGCAAAAATTATAGAAATATTGAAACTGAAGTTTCCAGATTCAAAATTTCACCCGTGAAATAAAATGCCAAAAATTAAACTAGTATGCTAATGTTTGAATCTAGAATACTTGTCCTTGTTTGTTACTAACAAAAAACATAGTGGTACATGGTTAATTTTGTTGTCGTAGTTGATTTGAGTGGCAGACAATACAATGGTTTCTTAGTATACTATAATATTTAGTATACTAGAATATCAGCAATCTTTCTTTTTGCTACTGCATCTACTGAATAGATTTCATCAAAACACGTACGATTTTTAGTATATTTAGTGTTCACACAATTTAAGATTTTTGCGTATGTCACTTTTATTTTTTTTCTAATGTTAATTTGACACTTTCATAACCCGGATTTTATAATTCAAAGGAATAAATGGTCAAACTGAATGCTAACTTTAATTTGAAGACTAACTTATTCGTCGAAACCAACCCACAATGAACCGTTGGTATACTGTGGATTCATTTATTTTCGTGGGTATCAATTTTCGTGGATAGAGAAAAAAAAGACATTTGGTGGTATACGTAAATTCGTGGATCGCTGATAACAAAAAAAAAAAATTCAGATACGTAATACGTGGATTTCGTTTTGATTTAATAGAGCATATAACCTCCTTGGTTTGATCAATAATAAAACAAACAAAAAGAAGGAATTCATTGAAAAAGTTTTGAATTGTCAAAATCCTCGCTTGGTCATTCTAGGTTAAAATGTTCATTGGAAACTTCTATTACAATAATGGACAGAGACAATTTATTATTTGTTTGTTTAACAATTTATAAATTCTTGTCGAAATTTTATAAGGCATTCAAAACTCTATAATTGAAAGCTCAGTTCCCTAATCACGATATAATAAACAGTCATATAAGTAAAAGGTGTGAAAATAAATGTTCCTGTCTTAGAATATAGCAAAGTACTCTCGACCAATGAAATTGTAGAATTAGATGCCTCTTAATTGTGAAGAATGAATGTAAATCATGTTCTTAGTAAGGGATTATCCTATTATTTAGGTCTATTTACTGTAACAGTTCAAAACAAAGAGTCTCTACAACTGCCCCGAAGCACATTTATCAGATTGAAAGGATTTATCACACAATAATTGAAACTGACTAAAAGTTGAATTGTGAAACAAACAAAAATCTCAAAATAAGTTGAAGTTTACTGGTGCAGTAAAATTGGTTCCGTGAATTTTATTATGAAAATATTAATAACTTCAAATTACTATAAAATTAAACAATACCAATCAATGCAAAAAAAAATTTTAAAAAATCTTTCAGATAAAAAATAACCTAAATCTTTAGCTTTCCAAAACTTTGATTACTTGATCAGCGGTCGGGAAGAATAGTTATTTCCAATACATGTATTCATATAAAAAAAACAGGAATTCAATTTTGAACATATTAAAAACTTTTAAAGGCATTATTTTGGAAAATTTCCCTGACATAATGAAACAGTATTAATAACTTTTAAGGGCATTATTTTTGAACATTTCCCTGACATAATGAAACAGTATTTGATGTAAAAGCCGGACTAAATTATTGGCTGTGAAATAAAATTTAGTTGTAACTCAAATGTATTAATTGATTTAAACTGTAAATAAAAAAGGATAATTCCTCACTAAAATATTACATGATTTACATTCATACTCACAATCAGGAAACATACAATTCATACCTTTTTTTCTACTGTTGTGTCACCTAATATCTATAACGCATTTTTTATAAAAATATTTCCCAAATGATAAGAAAATCCTCACATCACTAAAACTTATCCGTAAATGACATGCCGAAAAAGGAAGTCATGCATCAATTATAAACATTGTACTGACAATGAAACTAATTCTTGAATAGATCATTTGAGCCTTGAGCACTTTACAATATTCTAAGTTTGTAAGAGAATGATAATCCCTGACTTCATGAATAGTACTTGCTAACGCTCGTACTTATTCATGAAGAAAGGGATTATCATTCTCTTACATATACATAAACAATATTGCCTACGGGCAATATCCCCGTACTTAATCCTATTGATTTTTAATCACCAGTAAACCAAACTATGACACGGTAATTAACAACTTGCAGTTATTTTCCATGAACAGTTTAATCAATTTTAAAAAGTAAATTATCACTGATATTCGATATATTAATTATTGATTTAATCAAAACACTTGTATCTTCTTTCAATAAAAACACGAGTTATGGTACAATGTTTATAGCTAGTCAACACTATACTAGAACTGCATAACATAACCGGAAATAAACATCCGACTCCATACACATTTCTCGGGATTATTCTTCGTTGAATTCTTAAATTCGTGGTTCGCTGTGACCCACGAAACCCACGAAAATTGGTATTTCACGAATAAAAATGAATCCACAGTAATTTGGAACCATGTTTTCTCTGTCGTACACTGTCCGACCTTTTCCACTTTCTTTAAGAGCACATATCTGTTACAATGATAATTTCCATGAATAATATTAACTTTGTAAAAATTATATTGTTGATGAGAATTATTTCTAAGACTTTTAGCTGTAGACAAAAGTATACTCTAAACTATAAAAAAAAAATAGAATAAAGACTGACAACAGTCGCAGGAGAATATCGATGTAGATGTGCATTTGTAAAATATGCTAAAAAATATGGCTGTGTTGAAAATGAGATTCGTTTATGGTTTATTTAATGGGTTTTTGTTAATGGTTAACAAAATGGTACTGCTTTCAGGGAAAACAATACACGTTAAAAAAATCTACGCTCGAAATGGAACAATAAAGCCTGTTTAAACAAATCATACGAATGTTTTTGCAAGACATAAAGATATTGAAAACAAAAGTATAATATATAATACCTCATAATAAGACATGAATCCAGATTCTCTGGTATATTGTCCTTTTATACCTGGCCCGCTAGCCGCCGCTCCGATACTTGTCTGACTACCAGAAAATGTGAATGTTCACCCGTACGCAGCTAAACCAATAATTAATTTTTCTTTCGGTGCTCAAGAGTAAACTTTTCTGAATGAGAAATATATTTTGACAATATTGAGCACAAATTTACTTATGCACGCATTTACATTAAAAGTTTAGGATAGATAGCATGCTTATCACAAAACCAGAGTGCTATTTTTAGTATTAGATTACTCCCAGAACGTGATGTGTCAGTTCAAGATTTAATGTAGTAGTTGAAAATATGCATATGGGTTTCGCTTATTGTTAAAGACCGTACGGTGACCTATAGTTGTAAACTTCTATGTCATTTGGTCTCTGGTGAAGAGTAGTCTCATTGGCAGTTATACCATATCTTCTTTTTTTTATATAAAGAAAAGTGATACATGCATAATTCAGGATATACATGGTTTTCTTGACGTTAAACCTGAGGTAAAATATTAAGAGATCTGTGAAAATAAAATAAAAAAGATTGTATATATTGACACCTTAATCAACCCAGTCTATCCGGAGATTATTTAACTTATATAAGTTAATATTTAAGTATTTCTGATCGCCGTATTCATTGGACTTAGGAAATAAAGGACCATTATGTCCTGTAGTAGATTGCCAGGATCCATGAAGGTCGTAAGACATAATGTTGATAAAATCCATGTACCTATAAAAATAGGTAAACATTGTAAAAATGCAACATAATGTTAGCAAATATTGTAACAGATGAATGTTGAATTGAATAATCCCCAACACAATAACATATACAATGTACCACAACCTAAACAATACGAACTAATGTTTTGAACAAAACTTTTATGAATAAATTGTAATGAATACAATGAAAATGATTAGACAACCTGTATCTTATCATTGTTGCACGCGTATAAAGGGAAAAATAGAATGGAAAGAGGCCTACAGAATATTAAGCCAACAGTTTTGGGATCTCAAACACTCCGATACGTATCTGAGTGTTTACACTTTACATCTATTGGTTTTTATGATACTAAAAAATAATATATCAAAAATAGCTTACTGTGCCATTGTGAGGATATCATATGCGGTATCTGCTGTGTATTTTCCAGCAGCTACTGCAGCAGTCAAAAGAAGACAGACTAAACCAGAAGTATGTGATTCTGCATCAAAGGCTTCTTTAAGTTTCTGTTACGTAAGGATTTTTGACATATATAATCTTAAATAAATAGTGTAGAACCAATATGAATGAGAGAAGTAAGGAAGCGTTAATGAGACTCAATATCACATTAGATATTAGACATCAGACATTTTTTTTATTTTACCAATCATGGGCCCTTAGCAGGCAAGATACATAAACATCATAATATAATAATTATTATAAAGCATGCAAGTTTTTGGTGAAAATACACAATACACAAAGAAATACAGAAAAATATGAGCAATATAGGATTGTATTACAGTATGAAGCATTTAGTGTAATGAGATCGATTTTATATATATATAAAAAAAATAGATATAAAATTTATTAACAGGAAATAAAAGAACCAGACATATAGTTTCTCATTTTGTAGTAGTTCTCCTCATGGCCAGTGCACAGCAGTGAGGAACTTTACATCACCACAATGCAGAGGTCATAAAGGGGAGGTCATTCAGAACCAGCTGCAGATATTATAAGATTATCCCCAATAGTGGTTCTCCTCATGACTAGTGCACAGCAAGAAGGGGTTGACAATGCTACTGTGCAAGATTCATCAAGGGACGGTGCTCTAGAACTCGCCATGGAGAAATTATAACAAAGAAAGTAAGTGCACAAATACACAACGAAAGTTGCTGACAGTATATCAAGAACTATATTCTGCATTTACTTTTCATTTTTATATTGAAACATACGGTCTTATAACATACATGCAAATAGTTATAACTGAACTAATAATCCAAAGTTGACTTTGTCTTCAGGTTTACCACCCCTGTTTGATGGATATTCCCAGTCTATATCTAATCCTTCGAAAATATATTTCCTCAGGTACTGTATAACTGAACTAATAAATTCTGCCCTTGAATCGTGGGTGCTGACATCTGAGAATATACTACACTTCCAGTGGTCCAACCACCTAGCGCTAGTAATGTTTCTAATGATGGATTTTGTCGTTTCAAATCATTTAGCTGAGCATGGCTGTCATAAATATATAAAAAAAAACATTTCAAAATAAAAATTCCTTCTTCTACTTTCATTTTGAAATGTTTGGTACCCGATTTCGTGGCTACTTTAGCTCTCTTTATTCATTTCTTTGAGAAACACATTTGAATCTTATATTGAACTAAACACAACCCCTGTTCCTTTGCTTTTTGTGTTTTTTGCTGTGCATGTACTGATTTTTGTCATGGAAGGATACCCCATATCCATTGTTTTTTCTATTTTATATACACAATAGAATATAAACTCATCATAGATACCAAGTTTGCCAGATTGTTTCAATTTTATCTATAAACCCGATAAATAAATAAACCTAATTTCGATGACAACTCCTGTACTTTTACTTCTGTCTTCTATGTTTTATCGAAAAATGCAATCTTTATCAACCAACAAACTAAATTTTATCTGATATTACTGTTTCCCTTCAACACAGGTCAAGAACTCATTTAAAGTAATTGTAAATTGTCGACTAAATCTTACAGTTCATAGTCATTGTACTCTAGTTTCTGTATCATGTTGCCATGAAGTTTACCAAATGCATAGATAATATGTGTACACAAGTATGGATCTATATCACTAGGGAGGAACTTCCCAGTACCAAGTCTGTACTGTGACCAATTAGTGTAGTAACAAACTCTTTTGTATTCTGTGGATTCTAAAATATGTTGTGGATTCTAAAATATGGAAATAAATATATTGTTCATACAGAGAATAAATACCTTAAAGATGAAAAAGGAGTTAAAAAGCAATGATAAAACGACGATATTGCAGATTTACAGCTTCAATATTTGCATTTTCATAATTCAGTTTTTATCAATTTTATTAGGGGATATCCGCTAACTGCTGAAAATTTTAATTCAAATTATAAAGATCTTTGAGTTAGACAAGTTCACATCACCGACAAGCTCATTTTTAATTTACCGATATTCACAATATCACAGCTTTATGTTTGTACTTGAGGTTTTAACTTCAATATTTTTTTTACATATGAACATTTCTTGTTCTATAATACTTAGAGATGACAAAAAATGCAAATATGTAATTTGACAAATTTTTAGTATTATCTAAAAATTAATCGACAATTTCGAATTCACATGAAGATTAATTTTTTTTATATTTTAGATGCAAATTAATCTATTTAGGATTTCGGATGTCTTTTATTGCAAGTTTTGTCTTATTTTGTTTTATCAAATTTGTCCTCGGACGCATATGTTCACGTAAATATTTCATGCCTAGTCAAGTCATTAAACAAACAATCAATGCTGACGGTGGTTAAAACAAATAAAAAAGAAAGTGTTCATAACTGTCACATACAAGTAATATAGCTTTTTTTATGTCTTTCAATATCCTGGTTAGTTCGAAATATTATTTCACTACTATTTTTCATCAAATTACTTTGACAGATTCCTCTGGGGCTATGTTGGTATTAATGCAAAGATCAACTACAGCCCTTGGATGGTGTAAACTTCCCAAAAAACGTGTATGGTGTAATGGTGTATGGCATATGGTGCAATGGTAGAAGGTGTATGGTGCTATGGTGTATGGTGTAAGGGGAATGGTGTAAAAGAGGGACGAAAGATACCAGAGGGAAAGTCAAACTCATAGATCGAAAACAAACTGACAACGCCATGGCCAAAAATAAAAAGACAAACAGACAAATAATAGTACAGATGACACAACATAGAAAACCAAAGACTAAGTGTAATAGTGTAACGTGCGATCGGGAATGGTGTGAATGAATGGTGTACGACATTTAAAACTATGCAAAATATTGATAAGAACTGATTTTTAATTTTATACAATGATTTACAATATTGTGATCAAAATTCGTTTTTTAAAATATATAAATAACTTTGTAGTGGCACGCTTTCTTTGAAATTAAATTGCATTATGGTGTAATGTGTAAGGTGTATGGTGCAAAGGTGTAACGTGTATGGTGTAATGGCACAGGGTGTATGGTGTAATGGTGTATGGTGAATGGTGTAATTGTATATGGTGTTAGTGTGAAGTTTACACCATCCAAGGACTGTATACTGTTCCATGATTGTAAATAGAATAAATTTAATTGGTTTTAAAATACAGAATTGCCGTTCTAATCTAATATACATATATTCTCTTTGAGATTAAAATGTGTATACTAATACATGTATATGGATTTAAAAGTCGGATGTATCTTTGCAGCGTATTTAGGCATCCCTTGCTTTATAATATTTAGGTTTGAGCATTCATAATGAAGAAAAGCACGAAATTTAATGTGTTCATTGACATTTCTTATATAATAAAGGGTCTACATTTTTTTAATTTAAAACATGATCTTACAAAATTCATTCATTGTCATTTTGGTAATTTATTTAGTAAAATAAAGCTATCATGTGTTTAATTTTATGTTATTGAATACACGTCAATTTGGATCCAATTTTTCCAATCCAGTGACACACTTTTACCCCAAAATCAAGACTGTTATCACCCCCCCCGTCCCCAAGGAACGCATTGATTTTCAAAATATTCATTTGTACTCATTATATTTTAGTCTCGTAACCATAAAACACAGCTAACGGTTCACAAAATTTAAAAAGTCGAATGATAGTTAAACACAAAGTTATAGCACTGACATAGTTCTATACAATTCTTTTAAAATGCAAAATAAAAACCTTTTATTCTCCTAAAAATATATTAAACTTCCTGGTTTAAAAAAGATATTGATATTTTACTGACAATATATATGACATGTATGGGGTGAAGACGACCTGTCTCAGCATATAATAACACAAACCCCGAGGGTCGATGTTATCACAAATAACTACATATCTCCACCTATTTCCTCGTTTGCATTGTGAGATATGGTAGACAGTTGATTTTTTTTTTATTCACGTTTTCAAGACGTTTCTTTACATGATCCGATCAAAGACTATATGTTTATGATATATGTGAGAGAAAAACATTTCTTTAAAACAAAAATCATGGTCACTGAGGAGAGTGGACTCAACTGCATATATATATATATATATATATATTATATCATGTCTTGTACTTTTACTATTCTTGTGCTGTTTTGTGAACTGTTTTATTTTGTTATTTTTATGTCTACATGCCATCAACCTCATTGGGGTATAACTGTGCATTTGAATAAATAAATTAATTACAAATAAAATGAACCCCAGGAGAGTAAGATAATGATATTGAATCCAGAAAAATATGATAAAAGTACTTTAAAATACATACCTGCTATATAGTATGATAAAGCTACCAGAACTAATAGTAGTCTCTGAATAATCATTGTCAGTATTTGGTCAGTCTTACCGTCGATAACTGATCTTTGGCAGTTTTTATTTCCACAATTTGTATATCAAGTTTCCGGTTGGACCGTTACACATTCTCTGAGGCTCACCCATGACTTGAGATATATTTATCATTTTAATTGTCCGTCTTATTTTTTAATTACTTTAGCCGTACTTCAATTAATATTATTTTTTCCCGTATTTGAAATATTCAAAGTCGTAGTTTATTGTAAGTAAACATGACTGGTCAAACAATGCGTCACTTGTTTACATAGTGCACTGGTCATTATGAAATATCTTTTGTCTTCCATTCAAGTACTAAGACGTAATACTGTGCATAACATTTTAACAGTTGAAAGACCTTAAATGAAATATGATAGCATGGGCATTACTGATTTATATATTTCTAGTGTTTAAAATACGTCAATATGACCTTATCTCTTTATGAATAAAAATACGTTAGTCTTGTACTTTTTATAGGACATATTTGTAAAGAACGTTAAAATCTTTAACACAATGAAAACAGACAAAAAGTAAAATTAGAGGGTATGTCAGTACGTTTTTAGTTCCTGTGTCCAAAATGGCCTTTATAAGCTAATGACCTTGCTTTTCGTCTGTTGTCCGGTCATTCATTTGTTGACTTTTCACATTTTTTATCATCTCCTTTTAAAATACTGGAATTAACTGAATACTTTTTCTTTGGAAATAACATCATTTCATTTCGTGGAGAGAAAGGAGTGGTTTCACTCAGTGTTAGAATGGGTCCTAAGATATTAATGATTTTTAATCAGGTCAAAAAACTAAACATTTTACAAATTTGACTTTGGAGCCTACAATATACTCTTATGGAAAGATTTGTTTACATAGCGTTATTGCCTATAAAATACACCAATTTAGATCCATGTTAGGCCATTTTTATATTTTATTTTAAAGATAACAATTAATGCACCATTTTGCCTAAAGTGAACGTTATCCTATGTCTTTTGAAACATTTTGAATTCTTAATATTTAGTATTCAAATTTTGCTGGTCACGTTTGTTGCTTTCAATTTTTGACTTTTTGTACCGAATCTAAACTTCTTCTGATTCTTAAATTTCTTCAAAAGCGATTTTTCATACAGTTATGGTCACTTTCTGTTTTGTATAAGCTTCTGACATGATGAAGCAAGCATTTTTTGCCCGATTAAAAATGCAGTCACTGCCCATCACAACTGCAGGAATAGGCAAGTGTCACCAACATGTACTTTGTAACAGTCAATAGTGCAAGCTGCTACCTAGATTTGACAATTCACAATCCTCCCCAAGTATTCAGTCGTCTCTCTGATAGGTACATTATTACACCGCATGTATGAATCGTGGTGATGCCTACTCTTTATTCACATACATTTTTTGTTACCAGGTTAATTTCTTTGTGTGTCTCTTGGAATCCTTTGGATACACGATTGTATCTGTAAGTAATTGTTCAATAACTAAATGCTCATTAATAAATGGTAAGTTTTTCAACGAACAATTTCTCGTTACCATGAGTTATATGGTTTAAAGTTAGCTGAACATTGTCCTTGGTAATCAGATCGAGCGGGATTCTCTTAATGGATCTGAAAGGGGTTTTAATGATGCAGTGCAACGATATTCTTCATTGCTGCCTCCTAAACCCTGACTTCTTATTTCTTACTTAAAATATAAATTAGACTTCTTTAAATATCCCCCTTCTTAAAGTTTGAAATGACTGGTAGAAGGCGATGAGCCCCTTTTAAAAATATTTCAAAATATATATTTTTCCATCATCGTCAATCAGTTTTGCCCAATGTCATCAAAAAGCATCAAAAAGCAATTAACAGCATTCATCATGTGCTAAGGTTAGACTTATCTTTTTAGTTTAAACATATTTTATTTGCTTGAATATCCAATCGTTTGGAACAAATTCAATAGCATTCTACCACGTGTGACAGTAAAGAATCAATTCTATAACTTATGTCTGAAGTACCATAAAATCATCAATATGTCAAAAGAATGTACGCACATTCTGCCACACGGTGTCGTTACTAATATGCAAAATTAAGACAAACACCAAGAAACCAATTTACTTTTATTTGGTAAAACATTTTTTTACAAAAAAATTAATTCAAAATGAAAGAAACTTACATGATTTTATAATTTTCAATGAACAAATATTTTCAACTTATAAGTAAAAATTGCAACTGAAAAATGATGACAAGCTTAACTAAAATGTAAACTAAAATACATTTTTTTTTAACTTCATCAATGTGTCGAAAAGTGTATACGTAGGTATGCAAAATTTAATTTTAGTACCATTTTGTGTGATGCAATTCGATTCTTCTTTCATTAAATTTGCATGCAATGTAACGTTAGTGTCGGTATCAAAACAATTGATTGACT